GGACGACAAGGCGTTCACCAAGGAGCTGGACCAGTGGGTCGAGCAGCTGAACGAGTGTAAACAGCTTAACGAAAACCAAGTGCGGACGCTGTGCGAAAAGGTAAGAGCGAAGAGAGGACCGGCGCGGGGCGTTGGGAGGGGTGGGGGCGCGCCGCGGTCTCCCCTCCGCTCCCAGGTCCGCTCCGCTCCGCCCGCTGCGCGGCGCAGCCCATCGGGGGCCTGCGGGGCTGGGCCCGACGTTCCCGGGTGCGGGACCGAGCCATTCCAGGACGCAGGGCGTTGAGCTGCCCCGGGGCCTCCGCCCCAGACCCCCCGCATGCCCCGGCCGGGCGCTCCGACGACCGGCTCAGAGGGTCCGCTGTAGCTGGGAGGACTAACGCGGCCCCGAAACCCACGCCCGAAGTTTGATCAGGGTCGCCCGCGCTCGCCGAGGGAGTTGGGTCGCTCCGGCTTTGCATGTGTGGACTAGTCGCAGCGGCGCTTTAGAATGCCCGAAAATCAGTGTAATGCAGGCTCTAGTGCTCCGAAAATTAACGCGGATGACGTAAATACTAGCGAATTTGTTAATAAACAGAATTTTTCTCAGGTGAATGGGGCCCTTCAAAAAGCACTGGCTCGGCGTGCATCAAGCATTTGTTTGTAGCGAGGTGGGCGTAATGGCAGACTGTGATTTTTAAAATAGAGGTTGACTTTGGTGGAAACAGATGGTGACCATTCTGAGTGGGTCTTGGAAGTAAGGTGTTAATTTTCAGAAACAAAAAAGCAAGTCCGAAGTTTGGGAACACTGCCTGCTTGATATGATAAATGGGGTATGTGTTCTCGTGCAGGATGGCACTTTTCAGAAAGTTATTTTTGAGTTTATCTAAGTTATCTTCCAAAGGGTAATAAAACGTGCAGGTGACTAATTCTATGAGTCATTTTTTGATTGTGTGGTTGGAGCTTTCTGAATTCTGTAGCCGTTTTCTTAACCACTGGAATTATTTCACCCTCTCCATCTTCATTACTTAGAGTATTCTTCGCTCATCTTTTATAATGTAGCCTAAATAATTTTTATGTATGTTTATGTTGAAAATACATTGGAAGTCCATGAAGGAGGACTGAGGTGATTTTAAGCCATAATTTGTAAAATTTTGTCAGAATGTTTTGGAAGTCACAGTATGCCAGATGTACACTAGTGAAGGAAAGATCTTGTTGGTCTTATTACTTGGGCACTCTTAAAATGTGGAACTTGGTTAAAATAGTATTTTTAATAAGTGTAATGTTGCCCAAGGCCTTTATATGTTAAATACACGTATCTGTTTGTTAACGGAGGATTTCTGTAAATAGAACTGCCAAACAAGTGGGGTTTTTCTCTTTCAGAAACTGTTTACATATAGCTTCAGTCGACATCCACTTTTCTTGGGGTAACTTATAATTTCATGAGTCTTAACACCGTAAACATCTCTCCAGCTCTAGCTTCAAGTAAAATCTGTGGTTTTGAAATTAGCTCAGTGGGTTAACCTTATTATGAGCATTAGACATGAAGTTACAGAAAAAGTGGTAGTTGAATTAGTTTTTTCTTTTGACTTTCCACTGATTTTAATATGCATTCCTGGAGAAGAATAACAGTATTCGTTCTTTTTGTATCACTACTGTGTTACGTCCTTTGAAATAAATACATTTGAGCCTTATCAATCACTGGGGGAAGCTTTCTGTATTCATCAAGAGAGATTATTTTTACTTCAGCTCCTAAATCAATTGGACTAACAATTCCTAGGACTTTATACATATAAGTTTATATTGTGCCCTTATTTCTTACCCATGATTTCTTTATATCTACAAAACATAGATTTGGAAGTGAAATTCGTTTATCTTTGTCCACTACCCCTTTTGATGGAATTACCAGAGGGATGGAGAAGTGCCATAGTATTCCTTTCTAGTCTTTGGGGCCATGCTTAGTTTTGCAGCCCTCTTCCCTCAGTTTGGCATACCTTAGCGATACCTACATGAGTGTGTGTGTACTGTATGTTTTCATTCTACAACCTTAGTCCTTAGTTGCATTGTACATCCCTACCCTCTTTTGTAACAAGTGTAGGCTTCAGCCTGTCTGAATGAAAAAATCTTGCTCTACAGCTTGCTAGCACCTCTGACTCTTTTTATCTGTGAGAAAGGGATAATAGTTAACCATCTCCCCAGTTGGTTATGAGTATTAAATTTACCTATGCAAACTTATGACAGGAAATAAGCGCTCAGTGAATATTAAATGAAGAACGGCTAGGTGGGTGTGGTGTCTCACACCTGTAATCCTAGCTTTCTGGGACATCAAGGTGGCCAAGGTAGGGGAATTGTTTGAGCTCAGGAGTTTGAGACCAGCCTGAGCAAGAGCGAGATCCCATCTCTACCAAAAATTGAAAAATTAACAGGCACCTGTATAGTCCCAGCTCCTGGGGGGATGAGGCAGGAGGATCTTAATTAAGCCCAGGAGTTTGAGATTGGAATAAGTTGTGATGACACCACTGTACTCTAGCATGAGAGACAGGGCAAGATCCTATTTCAGGGGGGGGAAAAAAAACGCTTAAAAAAAATTTTTTTTTTTTTTTGGAGACAGATTCTCAAGCTGTCACCCTGGGTAGAGTACTGTGGTGTCACAGCTCACAGGAACCTCAGACTCCTGGGTTAAGTGATTCTCTTGCCTCAGCCTCCCAAGCAGCTGGGACAGCAGGCACCCCCTACAATGCCCAGCTATTTTTTGTTACAGTTGTCATTGTTGTTTAGCTGGCCTGGGCCAGGTTTGAACCCCCCAGGCTTGGTGTGTGTGGCTGGCCTGGTAACCACTGTGCTACAGGTACCAAGCCAGAAAAGGTTAAAATTTTTATCTGGTTTTAAATGTTAACCTATTCTCTTCTCTTTTAGAAAGAAATTCAAAATAAATAAATGTGTTTACGTGACTTTTATGTATAGTGGCTATAGAACCCTGAAAAATAGCAGGTTTTGTTTACTGAAGCACAAAGCCAAACCTAACTACATAAATCATCTTTTTAGAAAACTTCTCATGACTAGATTGGGGGGGGGGTGTGTTTGTTTTTAGAACAGAGTGTCACTCTATTGCCCAGAGTGCTGTAACATCAGCCTAGCTCACAGCAACCTCTAACTCCTTGACTCAAGCAATCCCCCTGCCTCAGCCTCCCAGAGTGCTAAGATTATAGGCATGAGCCACCACACTAGGCTGGCCTTGTTTAATTTTTGTAATAACATGATTTTTTGGATTCTGGCTCGGTGCCCGTACATCGGTGGTTATAGCACCAGCCACATATACCAGGCTGGCAGGTTCAAGCCCGGCCTGGGCCTGCTAAACAATAATGACAACTACAATTAAAAAAAAAAATGGCCGGGATTTGTGGCAGGCGCCTTTTTAGTCCCAGCTACTAACATGATTTTGGGGATTCTAGTGGAAATGCCACTCTAAAGAAAGTTACATTATATGGAGGTGGTTTTTCCCCCTTAAAATTATATTTCTATTTTAATTCTGATTGCCTAAAAACTGAAGGAGTCAGCTGAAATCAAGACCACAGTAATATTAGTAAAGGCCTATTTTGAGGTATTGGCAAAAATAAAATCTATCCTAGTACCAGTGGGTGAATGACTACAAAAAATAAAAGTATAAATGATACGGTAATGTCTGGCTTTTGAGGTTAATTTCTGCCTAGAGAAAATTTGTTTGAATAAAATTGTAAGGCATGTATTCTGAGAAGATTAGCTTTTAACAGTAAATTAGCAATCTACTTTTTGAAGCTAATTGTAAATTTGACTCTGTGTGTGCGCAGAAATTGCTTTTGTGATTGGTTCCTGCATTAGCGGTGTGCACAGTTATTTTAAGATAGTGTGCGTATCCTAGAATGAAAGGGGCTTAATGGGGGGAAAAAGGGTAATGTGCCTAGAGAGCTAGTCTGGTGCTGCTCCGGACACTGTGTAACTAGAATTAAATTTAACTCATGTCTCAGAAAATAAAAATGTTAAGCTCTTTGACCTAATTTTGTTTTGTAACTGAAGAACCTTGGTGACGATACTTTAGGTAGAGACAGAAATTTAGGCAGTTGGTACGCTGGCAGATCTTTGTTACGATGATTTTAAAGTGCCTATGGAGAAAAATTTTGAGGCTTGTGTAGGAATACAGATATTTACATTTTATATGGAACTGATGGAAGTGTTTCTGGGTCCTGGTGTTAGCCTTGAAAGAAGCAGAGATGTCTGTAGGATATGGCTTACTCATTCTTTTTTTTTTTTTGCCATTTTTGGCCAGGGCTAGGTTTGAACCCACCACCTCCAGCATATGGGACCGGCGCCCTGCTTACTCATTCTTGATGCTTAAATTCCTGAATGTCCAAAACCATCTTAATGAAGATTAAATCACGGTAAAAATTAGTGAATTTAATGAGTTGAGAAAAATCTTTTAGATTACTCTCTGTGATAGGTTGCAGCTTTAAAAAAAAAAAAAAAAGTGGTTTTAACAGCCCAAAAGCCTGGTGCTTTCAGTTTCCCTTGAGCAAGGATTAGTGGCCAGGCTTGGTGGTCTGTTGATAACATCTGATATTCAGTGATGTAGAAAATAGCTCTTTTCTTTCTTACTATAACAAAGAATGACATGATTACAGTGGATATGAGGTTAAGACCCAGTTCTACTGACTGAACAAATACTGCAGTTGTTTTCTATGCTAGCCAAGCCAGCTTCTTTTAAAAACAGGTAAAAGAACTAAACCAAGCTATAGACTGGCATTGACTACAAAGTAGACTTTGTTAAATCACCGTTTCTCAGTTTTATATATGATGTGTAAAATAGTATGCCTAGGTTGATAAAATGAAGATAAATTCCATTGAATAGTTCCATTTGCAGTATATGCCTTATATTAATGATCTTGGAGAAATTTTTCCTTCATGGTCTTTTCTTCAGAACAAGTGCTATGAAGGACTTGGTGAATGAAGTCCTTTGGTGAAAGGAAACCAAAATGCCCAAAATTGACAATAGAATTAATGCCTGATTAATTTCTCTAAATTCTGACTATTCTTTGAGTTTAGTTTTTTCTCAGAAAAATGGTATTAAAATCACAGACATAATCTAATATG